ACTGGGAGGAACTGGGAGGCTGCTGTGGTGGGGTGGAGGAAGAGGTGCTGGGAGGTTCTGGGAGGTCCTCTGGGGTTCAACTGGGAGGAACTGGGAAGAACTGGGAGGCCACTGTGTTGGAATGGAGAGGAGACAGGGTGCTGGGAGGTCCTCTGGGGTTGTACTGGGAGGAACTGGGAGGCTGCTGTGGGGTGGAGGAAGCGGTGCTGAAAGGTCCCCTGGGGTTGAACTGGGAGGCACTGGGAGGCTGCTGTGGTGGAGTGGAGGAAGAGGTGCTGGGAGGTTCTGGGAGGTCCTCTGGGGTTCAACTGGGAGGAACTGGGAGGCTGCTGTGGTGGGGTGGAGAGGAGACAGGGTGCTGGGAGGCCCTCTGGGGTTGTACTGGGAGAAACTGGGAGGCTGCTGTGGTGGGGTGGAGGAAGGGGTGCTGAGAGGTCCTCTGGGGTTGAACTGGGAGGAACTGGGAGGCCACTGTGGTGGGGCAGAGGAAGGGGTGCAGGGATGTTCTACGAGGTCCTCTGGGTTTGAACTGGGAGGAACTGGGAAGAACTGGGAGGCCGCTGTGGTGGAAGGGAGAGGAGATGGGGTGCTGGGAGGTCCTCTGGGGTTGAACTGGGAGGCACTGGGGGTGCCTGATGAGCGCCACCATGCCCAGTACGGGGTGGCCGGGGCCACGGGCGTCCACGGGGGACTGGAAAACACCGGAAAGGATGAGCCGCGGCCCGGCGCTTCCCGGCCAATCGGGGCCTGCCTCCGGCCAGGAGCCGCGTGTCGAGGTTGGACCTCATCCCCTCTCGGCCAATCGGGGACCTGCATCCAACCAAGAGCCGCGTGTCGAGGTTGGACCTCGTCATCATCTCTCGGCCAATCGGGGCCCTGCATCCGGCCAGGAGCCACGTGTTGAGGTTGGACCTCATCATCACCTCTCAACCAATCGGGGCCCTGCCACGTTTTGACCTTGACCCCTACTGGAGACAGGTCCTGGTGGCCTCTCCGCCACCTTCTCCATCCCTGCGTCCATCGAGGAGCCACGGTTTGGCGTCCACCTCCATCGAAGACGTCCCCTCCACCAAGCCACGTGTTGAGGTTGGACCTCGTCATCATCTCTCGGCCAATCGGGGCCCTGCATCCAACCAGGAGCCACGTGTCGAGGTTGGACCTCGTCATCATCTCTCGGCCAATCGGGGCCCTGCATCCGGCCAGGAGCCACGTGTTGAGGTTGGACCTCATCATCACCTCTCAACCAATCGGGGCCCTGCCACGTTTTGACCTTGACCCCTACTGGAGACAGGTCCTGGTGGCCTCTCCGCCACCTTCTCCATCCCTGCGTCCGTCGAGGAGCCACGGTTTGGCGTCCACCTCCATCGAAGACGTCCCCTCCACCAGCCTCCTCCAACCCCAGGTCTTACAACCAGTGAGGAGCCACGTTTTGTGGTCCAACCCCATCCCAGCCGTCTCCTGGCGCCCTCTCAACCACCCTCCTCCAATCCCCGCTCACGCCCTGAACGGGGAGCTCCAGTTTGGGGTTGACCGCCCCAGCGACGTGGCTCGGTGTCCTCTTCACCGTCCTCATCTTTAACCCTGGGTTCCCACGCCCAACAAAGAGCCACGTTTTGGAGTTCGGCCACGTCTTGGTGCCCTCTCCACCGGCCTCATCCATCTTTGGTTTCTGCAGCTGATGAGGAGCCACGTTTGGGCTTTGAGCCCTCAAAGCTGTGGCCCAGTCTCCTCTCGGTGGTCCTCATCCAGCCCCAGGTTCTGGTACCCACCAAGGAGCCACGTTTTGGGGTTGACCCCACCGGAGACGTGTCCTGGTGTCCTCTCACCCATCCCCATCCAGCCCCAGGTTCTGATACCCACCGAGGAACCGCGTTATGC